TTCGACCGATCTTTCTACTTACGTTATCGATTACCCGATTCTACGCTTATTGCTTATACCTTCTAATAAAAGATTTACTCGTTAAGCGCTTATAAGGCTACTTTTAGGGCGATTTCGTTGTCTTTTAAAAGGCTTATATATATAAGGGCTAGAGCTAGCTCCTTAAGGTCTACTTCCTTAATATCTTAAGCGAGGCTCTTAAGTATTTTATCGAAAATCTATTACTCGTTAAAAATCACGTTTTAAGTAAAGATATTATAACTATAGTTAGTAGGCTATAAGAGAGCTAGCTATATTTATATAATAAGGCGGCTTAGAATAATAGTTAGGATAAGAAGTTACTTAGGCTTAGCTTACTTAAAGTATATATAAGCTAAGTAAGCCTTATATAAATAGATTACTACTTAGGAGTATAGCTTACTTATAAGCTATAGTAAGCTATAAAGGGGATTATAGCTAAATCTATAATCTAAGGATAGTCTTTATAGGTATATATAGCTACTTACTTTTACTCTTTTAAATAGATAGCTCTTTAGCTTTTAATATTATAATTATTACGATCTTTATTATAATCTCCTCTTTAATTCTAATTACTTAATTACCTAGTTATAGTTTATAATCTATAACCTATAACTTATTAATAACGTAATATACTTATTATTATTTAAACCACGCCCTATTATATCTACTAATATAAACCTCTTAATAGGTTTATCCCTTAAGAATAATACTAGTCGTTATATATTAAAAGCTCTTATTTAGTATAATACTACGTTACTCTAAGTAATATTATAACTATTAATATACTTATATAGTAAGCTAGATTAATTAACTTTAAGCTATTATATTACCTTAGGATATAATACGCGAGATTATTTCCCTTCGATATAAGGTATAGTTACTTAGGAATAAAGGAGGTAATAGATAAATTAAAGACCTTAAAGAAGTAGTTAAACTAAAATAGCTAGGACTATTTAATAGTACTTATAGTATGCTTTAAGACTTTCTTACTTAACTTAAGGCTTACTATTAGTTTTACCTTACTAAACTCTTAGACCTAGTCGAAAAGGTACTTTATATTATAGAAATTATTTATTTAGAATAGTACTTACTTAGTTTAGACCTATTATAAGGGATTTTCTTAATAACTAACTAGCGCGATAAGATAATAAGATAAATAAAGTCTTTATTAGTTTCTAAGGATTTAAAGAAGCTATTATAAAGGTATTTAAAATAACTAATAAGGAATAAAAAGCTAAATAAAAACTTTAAGAACTTTAGTAAAGGATCTTAGTATTAGATTATACTATAAAGTTCTATTAAGTTACCTTAAAACTTAATTAAGATAACGAACCTTTTATATTACGATTTTACTATATACTTAAAGAAGAAGTTAAATATAAGCTTTATAAGGAAAGTTATCCTAATAACTTCTTAAACTATATTACTATAATAGTATAAATCGACGATAGATAGTATATATAATACTAAGAAAAGAAATAATAAAGAGGAAACTATAACCCTTATTATAAGAGGAACTTTAACTAATATACTAACTATAAAAAAAAGCGCGAAACTATTATTACCTATACTTATATAACTAACTTAAGTAAGATAGACCTAAATATAATATAAAAAGGTAAAGTAAAGTATTTTAACTATAAAAACCCTAAATATTACTTTAAAGAATATTAATAACCTTATAAAGAGAAGAAAATATACTAAGCGCTAGCCTTAAAAGGTAAGAGATACTTAAATACTATTAATAAATAAAAACTAAAGTATAAACTCCTTAGTTAGACTATATACTATAATAATAAATATATAATATACCTAAGCGATAAGAATAGTATTAAATAGTTCTTAAAGCTACTAAGAAAAGCTTATATAATAATATAATAAAAGGATCTTAAAATATAGAAATAAGTTAAATTTATAGAACTAAAATACCTTTACCTTAAAGGAGTCTCTTTAAACTAAATTAAAAAGAATAGTAAATAATTCTAAGAAGATATATAAAATAAAGATTAATAGTAATAATAGGTAGTCTATAAATAATATAATAAAGAAGATATAAATATTGCCCTTATACTTAAAAAACTTAGATAATAACTTAAGAAGGAATAATAAAGTATTAACGATATAAGCTTTAAAGAATAAGAAATACCTAGAGAAATAAAAGATAAAAACGAACTTATACTACTACCCTTACTACTAAGGGAAAATACTATAATTAAAGAATATACTCTATACTTTAAAGAATTTAAAGAAATACTTTAAATTAAAACTTAATAAATACCTTAAATTCTTATAGAAAACTAATAAGGTATATTAATTTAGTATTAACTAGTACTATATAAAGGAGACTATACTATAGCTATTACTATAGTTAATACCTTTAAAACTTTATAATAAAAATAGTAACTATAAAAAGAATTTAAAGATAATCTATAAATATTACTTACTTATAAGTATTATAAGTATATTTTATAGATATTATATATTTACTTAGATTATATAATATACTTTTAAATAAAGGTATAATATAATGCTTTCTTAGTTAAGTTTAAGGGATAAGTACTTTTTAAACCTTACTTAAGTATAAAACTAAACTACTAGAAAATCGATTAACGCTACTTAAACGACTAAGTTATATTATTAAAACCTAATTATAGTATACTACTTAAATACCGCGAAAATTATAGTTTATTAATAAGATATCTTTTAAAGATATATAAAATCTATAAATATACTAAAATAAAAGAATAGTATAGCGCTACTTACTTTAAAGTATTTAAACTATTAATCTTTTAAAAGCTTATATAATAAGTTAAATATACTAAAGAAGATTAAAATAAATATATATACTTAAACTATAAAGTTTATAAATATAAAAAAGTATAAATATAATATAAATAATATAATAGTATATTAAAATATTATTAGTAGTATATATAAAGGCTATAAGCTATATTTAACTAAGGAAAAATCGATATAAAAATACTATATAAAAAGTAAAAAGATACTAAATAAAAACTTAACTTTTAATATAAAAATAAATAGAATTATAAAGTATAGTATATAGTTAACTATAAATTAGTATAATATAAACGATATAGTATTAAGAAATAAGAAATCTTTAATTAACTATAAGAAATTAGTCTTTTAAACCTTAATATAATACTACGCGATAGAAATATAAAGAAATAATATTATTAATAAATTAAAAAGAATACTTAAATAAAATAAATAAAGACTAAGTAAAAAATAAGGTATATTATTTATAAAAAAGCTATAGACTAGTATAATATAATAAGATTTAAGGACCCTATATATAGTAACGGTAAGCTATAATAACTAAATAGTAATAAATATTTAAATCGTAGGATATTATATATATATACTTTTAGACTATAGTATAATAAGTAATTACGTTTTACTAAAGTTATTAATTATTACTAACTTATATAAAGATATAAGAAAGATTTATATAAACTTTTAAATATTAAAAGAGAGGCCTTTAACTATAATAATAGAATTATTAATATAAAGATTAATTACTTTAATATTAATATCTAGGGCTATAATAAATAATTTAACTTTAATATTATAGATATTAAAGAATATAACCTTATATTAAGACTATTATAGTTATAAGAGAGCAACCTATTTACTAACTAGAAAACTAGCTAGCTATATTAAAATAAAGATATAAGTTTCTAAAACTAATAGATTTAAAAGAAAGTAAATTTTTATAATAATTTAGTTATTAAATAAGATATAAAGGATAACTATTTAAGTAAATTATTATAGGCTTTAGCGATATAAATAAAAATAGTAACTAAACTCGCGGATATAATAAAATTAATTAATAAGACCTATATATTAATAGTATAGCTATATAACCTAGTATTTAATATAAATAGAATAAAGGATATAATATAAAGATTTAAAGAGTTATTACTACTTTAAGGAAAGACCTTAAATAAATTAATAAAGAGCTTAAGTTAAGAGAAACTAGCTCTTAAAAGAAAGAATAAAGCCTATAAGATAGAATAAAGTATATCCCTTAGAAATACTAAAAATATAATAAACTCTTTATAAAAGAACTTAAGATAGGATTACTTAGATATAGCTAATAAGACTATAAAATTTATTTTAAGGATAAAATAATACTAACGTTTTATAAGATTTAAAACTTAAACGAAAAGTAACTATAAACGCTATATAACTATCTTTATAAGAATCTATATATCACGGAGTAGGCAGAGGCGTGCGCGTAGGTGCCGTCCGTAGGATGATGTTAATAAGCTATATAGAGCTCTCCTATGCGCGGCTGGCCCGCACATATGCGTGCGGGATCCGGCCCTCCGCACGTGACTACACGGCTTAGGCCGTAGCCTAAGCCCACAACCCACAATAGTCAAAGACTCTTACACAATGCCCTCCCTCGAGCGCGGCGCGGCGTTGCCCCATTAACGGCTTCCGCACTATAGGGCCCGTGCCGCTAGCTCCACCCTGCCCTTTTCCGTTAATCGTGCTGGCCCCACTAGCCCTATTGTCCCCGCGCCTATCAGCCCGGGCAGCCGGAACCGGGCTCCACACTTGTCGGCCGGCTGGCCGTTTGAATAGGGGCGCAACCTATTATATGCGCCCCTAGGTGGCCGGCGGCCGGCCCGGACCTACGTAAGCCTTAGGTTGCCCGTCCCCTCGGCCTTAGGCAGCCTCCTCTACCTAGGGGTATATAAGGCGGCATCCCCCCCTTCCTCCTTCCTTTCCTTCTCCTTCTTCTTTAACCGTAGCAGTAGCAGCAATAGGTGAGTTCCGCTCTACCCGGGGCGTTAGTTCGTTCCTAGCTGTGCGGGCCGCTTTATTAACGTGTGCTCGCAGTAACAGCCGCAGTAGCAACAATAGCCCTAACAACAACAACTTCAACCAGTAAGTTCTCCGCCCTATAGAGCGGGAGGCCGCAATCCGTGATGCTGACTTCCGCGATAGACATGTCTGCCTCCCCCTCCCCCGCTTCCTCCTTCTCGGAGCGTGCGGAGTCGTTCGTCGACGCCGTGCTAGGCACGGCCGACGACGGCTCCGCCGCTGCCGCTGCTCCTGCCCGCGCCCCCGCGACCGCGCCCACCGCCGCCGCCTCTGCCTCTGCTGCGCTGGCCGCCCTCACGTCGCCCTTCCGGGTGACGACGCCGTCCCCGCCGCCGGCCGTGACGCCCGGCCCCTCCGCCCCCGCCTCCGCTACTGCCACCCCCGTAAGTCCGCTGCCTAGCGAGCGTGGTGGCCATTTTCCGCTAACTTCTCAAAGCATAAACGCCAAGTGTAGGCCGGAGCCGCCCGCTGCCGCCGACTGGCTCGCGGGCCTAGAGGGCCGCCTGAGCGCCCTGGAGAGCGCCGCCGCCGCCAATAAGGTGGAGGAGGACGACGAGGATGAGGATGAGGACGACGATAAGGACGAGGAGTAGGTCTAGGTAGTCTAGGGGCTCCGCCCCGAAATAAACGCTGTTTTTATCTCCGCTCGTATAATTGCGCTCGCGTTATCGTGACTGCCTACTCCGCTTTGCCTACTTCGTGGTCCTGGCCCGGGCTACTGTCGGTGGTCCGCTAGTCCGTCGTTCTCGTCTACCGTTCCGAATAAGGCTTCGAACTTATCGAGGGCTGCGGTTCCCGTAAACTTACGTGCGGGTTCCCACGTAGGGTCGAGATACCCGCGCTACTTAACGAGGACCTCCCGGCGTTTCCCCCTGCCGACCTTTTTCTATCGCGCGGCCCGTATCTCTTCGACCTCGAACTCGTCCTCTCCCTCTACCTCGATTGCGGGCGGTTAGGCGTCCGCTGCTTCTTATCCGGGCAGCGGGTTAGAGGAGGCTCTGCGAAGGAGGTCTACGTTAATCTTATTATAGACCCCCGTTAGGAGACCATCGAGCTCTATAACCTACGGGCTAATAACCCTCCGTACCGTAAACTTCGCGTGTAGCTAGTTAAGCTTCTTCTTTGGTCGTGCCGACCTATAGTTACGGAGGTCTAGCTATACCTTATCTCCTGCCGCGAACCTGTCTGCTAGGGCCCTAATCTTATTGGCGTGCCGCTCCTAATCTTGCGCCGCGGCGGCTATCGCGGATTAGCAATAATCCGTGGTCTCCTATAGCTTTCGTACGAACGCGGAGGCGCGGCCCTCTAGTAACGAATTGCTATGCTGCTCCGCTGCCACGTCTACGGCAAAGGGAACTAGTAAGGGTAGTTCGAAGCTATGCGTTGCAAAGAAAGGGGCTATCCTAATAGAGGTATATAGTCTACTATTTAACGTAAGTTAGGCCGCGGGGAGCCACCGGTCCTAGTCTGCTTAGTTGCGGGCCACGATAGCCCGTAGGTAAGCCTACGCCTCCTAGTTAACCCTCTCGGGCCCTCCGTCGGTCTATAGGTAATATGCCGTGCTAAGCAGCTGCGTGATCTAAAGTAGCTAGCATAAGTGCTGCTAAAAGCGACTGGTCTAATTCGATCCCCTATCGCTTATAATAGAGGCTAGCCAGCTATACGAGCGGGCCTAGCACTATAGGAAGCGCTCTACGTAGGACTCCGTATCTATAGACGGTATCGGCTCTAATACTATAGACTTACTAAGTCGGTCCTTAATTACCTATATATAGCGGTTGCCGCCCTCTATAAGTAGGAGGTCCGTTATAAAGTCTATCTATATATGCGTGTAGAACCGGTCGGGCACCGGAAGCTACTTAAGCAGCCCCTTAAGCTGCGCCCTCTAGATCTTCGTGCGGCCGTAGATATCGCAGTTGCGGAGGAAGCGACGAACGTGGTGCTATAGGAGGGGCTAGTAAAAGTCCCTCGTAAGGCCTGCTACTGTGCCCTGTCTGCCTAGGTGACCCACGACGCTAGAGTTATAGATAAGTTAGACCAGCCTCCCTCGGAGCTCGTTCCGTTCGTCTAGCTCCGGCGGTCCCTCCTTCTCCTTAGCTTCCGTGGTATACGGTGCGCCCGGTACCTATAGTCTCCCCCGCTAGCGTAGATGCCCCCGTGGGTCGATATAGTAGTCGGCCACCTATACTTTTAGCTTTAGCTTCGGATCTAAGCGTCGAGCGCCGGACTTAACGGCGCGGCGCACGCCCTCGTAGGTGCGGTCTAGGGCCGCCATCCTATCCTATAAGCGTTGAAGGGCCTTATCTTAGAACACTCTCGCCGCGCGCGCCCCCGGGCCGGTCTATCCTCCTCGCCGGACCGAGGCAAGGGCGCGGGGGAAGCTTATTCGCTAGCACCGCGTCTTCCTCTACTAGGGAAGCTCCTATATAAGTCCGTAGTGCTTCCTACGGGATAAGCTATAGATCCCGGGCCTCGATGTCCGCTCCCGTCGGCCGGTCCTAATCCCTCCGGGAAAGCGCGTCTAGGACCGCGGAGTCCCGCCCGGGGCGGTACTTAATCGAGAAGTTAAAGCGTAAGAGATACTCCGCCTAGCGGGCTTGCCGCTCTAAGAGGTGCTAGCGAGTTATAAAGTACTCGAGGTTCCTATAGTCTATAAGAACCTCGAAGCTCTTATAGCTCTAGAGCTCCGCTTACTATTACTCGAGGTAGCTAATAATCGCTAGCATCTCCTTATCGTAAATAGCGTAATTCCGCTCCGCTAGGGTTAGCTTGCGGGAGTAAAACGCCACCGGTTACTTCCGCCCGTCTACCTCCTAGGAGAGCGTTCCTCCGAGTGCCTAGCCGCTATAGTCCGCTTTAACTAACGTAGACCGGTCGAAGTCCTACTAGAGTAGTACTAGGGCTTAAGAGAATAGGTCCTTAAGCGTGCGGAACGCTCCTTCCTATACGGGCCCCTAGCGAAAGGCGGTCCGCTTCCCGGTAATCTCGTTTAGGGGCATTATAATACGGGAGAAGCCCTTAATAAATATCCTATAATAGTTCGCGAACCTAAGGAAGCTCCGTACGCCTATCTACGTGGTTAGGGCAGCTTAGTCCCGAATCGCCTAGATCTTTGCGGGGTCCGCCTATATACCTACGCCTACGTAGATAATAAAGCCTAGGTACTTAACCCTCTTAACCCCGAATTCGCACTTATCCGGGTCGAGGTAGAGCCTATAAAGTTAGAGGCGCTCTAGGACCCTCCGTACTTTCCGTATATAGTCCTCGTAGGAGCCGCTCGTATAGATAAGGATATTATCTACGTATATAGAGGCGAACTCGTCGAGGAAGTCCTAAAGCACGTTATTAATATAACGCTAGAAGGTAGCGGGCGCTCCTAAGAGGCCGAAGGGCGTTATAAGCCACTCGAATAAGCCGTAGCGTGTACGGAACGCTGTCTTTTACTCGTTACCCTCCGAGATCCGTACCTTATAGAACGCCTATTTTATATTAAGCTTCGTAAACTACTTCGCCTTCGAAAGGTTACGGAGCGTATCTAAGATTAGGGGCAAAGGGTAGCGGTCCGGCCTCGTAATTCCGTTTAGGGCCCTATAGTCGTAATAGAACTATATCCCGCCCCTTAGTTTACGCACGAATAGGACCGGCGCTCTTACTTCGGAGCTACTTACTTAAATAAAACCCTTATCTAGGAGGTCCCTTAGCGTCTTCTTTAGCACTAGCAGCTCCGCGTATAATATACTATATAGCGGTCTAAACGGTGCGGGCAGTTCCTGCCCCTTCTTATCGGTGCGGAGTACGATCCTATAGTCTACCCCCGGCTTATACGGGTTAAGCTTATCCGCTTCCTAGGACTCGAATAGCGGTAGGAGGTCGTGAAAGCGCTCCGGTATCTATTGCCGTAGCTTAGAGGGCGACTTCGGCTTCTTCGTCCGGAGGGCCTTATCGATGTCCGCTAGGCTAACTGCGTAGACCGCTGCGTTAGCCGCTGCCCGGCCTTGCCCCTGCTCTACCCGTCGCACGGTTCCTACGAAGACAGAGGCAAGGACTTCTTATGCCGAGTATAAAGCTCGCACGCCTAGTCCTACGCCTACGGAACTATCGTCGTAGCGGACCTACCGTTGCGTAGGCCTAAACTATAGCTTCCTTTAGTGCGGAACCGAGTATAACTCTATATATAATAACTAGGGTTTCCTAAGGATTAGGGGAAACTCTAGTTAGGGGATTATATAGGCCACGATAAGCTTATAGCAACCGTCGACCTCTATAGCTAGCTACGTAATGCCCCTAATTACCGCACCCTCTATCGCGCCTAAGGCGCCCTTTACTCGCCTTAGGGCGATCTTTTCTACCGGCACTTATATCTCTCGCGCAAGCGCCTCGTTAACTACGGCGTAGCACTAGCAGCCCTCGTCTATAAGGGCGGCAACGGGCAAGGAGTTATTAATTATAACCTATATTAAAGTAGGCTCCTTTTCTATACGGGCGGACAATTCTTCCTTCTCCTTTGCTAGTGCTAGCAATTAGGGCTCCGGAGCCCGTCTTTACTCCGGAGCTACTCTTTTTCCTCCGGGCCTAGGGGGGCGGAGTCCTCCTTATCGTCTAAGGCGAGGAGCGGTTCTATCTTTGCTACTCGAACCGCTACGGGCCGCTTAGCTAAAAGGAAGGGGCATTTTAATATAAAGTGCGTAGATGCTCCGCAACGTAGGCAGCGGCCGTTAGCCTTCCTCTTCCCGATTTCCTCGCTCGTTACCTACTTCGCCCGCTACTTAGAGTGCGGGGCGGTATAGGGGGTGGTCGACGGCGTCTTCTTGCCGCGTCTAGCCCGGTCTATGCGGGTAGCCGACATTAGGGTGTCCCCGTCCGTGTCGACAGCCGGTTATTTATCTTACGGAGGGGCGGTGATCCCGTCGCCGCTATACGGCGTGCGCTTACGGAGCTTCTAGAAACGCGGCGTCTGCTCGTAGCCCTAAGCCACCTTTATTAACCGGCTTACGTACTCGCCGTAGTTAGTAGGTATAATTACGGGGATAAGCAGCTCCCGTAGGGCCGGCGTGATCGAATTCCGTAGCTATATAAGCTTCGCGCTGTCTTCCTATACCGTAGTCCCCGCTGCCCGTGAGAGCGTCTCTTCGAAATCGGGAAGGAATTCGCTAAAGGTTTATCCGTCTCTCTGCTTAAGGGTCCGTAGCCTATCTTACGCCTTCTCCCGCTCCTGCACGTTGCCGAACGTATATATAAGGTGTTAGAAGAAGTCTTATAGGTCGCGTCTGCCCCTAGGGCCGCCCTTATCCTAGAATCCGGAGATCCGCCGTATCTAGGGCTCCGGCAGCGTATAGAGGAGCGAATACCACGCTATATCGCGATAGCTATTTGGCCCTATTTCTCGTCGGTTATAAACTTCGTCATAGCCGGCTGGGAAGAAGTAAAAGGACTCCGGCTTACCGTCCTAAGTCGGCTAAGGGAGCGGCTTCCTCGTCGGTGGTGTCGCCGCCGTAACCGGCGTTGCGGAGGTCGTAGGGGTTAAAGCCGGTCTCGCCGACGGCTCCCCTAGTGTAGCGAGAACCTCGTCCTTCTCGCTAGCCGTCGCGCTTCT